GAGGAGAGAAGATGATGGAGTAGGGCAGGGGTGGGCAAACTTTTCAAAGCGAGGGCCGCATCAGTGGGCCATGAAAAGTCGAAGGGCCGCACCTTTTAAAATCAGGCGGTGCGCTCTAAGATAATACGTGCGTTTTGCCACAAGGGCGCCATTTCAGGACCATAATTAGCTGAAATGGCGTTGCAGAGCGAACCAGAGACAATATAGAACAGTAATCTGTATGACACTGAAAAAGTCAGCCTCGGCTCAAGCACAAACATGTTGACTTTCACAAAAATCTATTGATTTTAAAAAAAAAATTATTTTTTTATTTTTATTTTTTTATTTGCTGTAGGCTTCCGCGGGCCGCACAGAACCCCGTAGAGGGCCGCATGCGGCCCGCGGGCCGTAGTTTGCCCACCCCTGCTGTAGAGTGTAGTGTTGGGTTAGTTTGTATTTATTTATTTATTTATTTATAGTTTGTTTATTGTTACATCATGCTCATAACCTACCTAATAACTATTTTTATGAAACCAGAGGTCGAAAGAAGATGAGTCATCTGATGATGACAATTATCAACCATACATTCCTCTAAGAGAGCGAAGAAAGCAAAAGGTATTTGTTTTTATCCTGACTAAATATTTAGTACTGTTACATAGGATTTATTGTTAGGCCTACTTTATATTGCTCCCGATTTTACTTGTTTCACTGACGTAGAACTTCAATTCTTCAGATTTCAAAGTATGAGAATTACTTGGGTAGAGTTGGTGCACTAAGGGAGGAAGAGAAAAGGGGAGGAAGTAGCAGTGAGAAGGAAGACTGGAATGCGGACCATGCTGATGAGGAGGAGGCAGAGGGGGCCATTAACATTGGACCAAAGCTTGGCATCAGCTTGTTGGACCAGCACAGTGAACTTAAAAAGCGTGCCGAAGGTCCGTATATACAAACGCATGCGCACACGCTCGTACGCATCATTTTTATAACTGCTTGACATAATTATTAAATTAGTGTTAATTAGTTGTATAATTAGATTAATTAGTTGTTTCGATTTATTAGATTATTAATAAATTTATAGATTTATTAGGTTTATTTAATTAGTTGTTTAGATTAGTTTATATTAATTAGTGTCCCATTAAAGTCTACAAGTCTATAACAAATTGGTATCAGTATGTAAGCAAGGAGTGCTCAATGTCAATGATGAAAGATTGGGAGCAATCTAGGTGCCATACATGCATCCGTTTTGTTCCAAATATGTACCGTAACATTCAAAGCTGACATTGAAGTAATGAGTGTTCTATATATTATATCAGAATATTGTGTAACCTACATAATTTTAAAATCTCTAATGTCACAGCTGCGGAAATATCACGGACAACAGTTAGTATTGTGGCGTGTACATTGTCCTTTCAGCACGGAGAGAGACTGCAAGAGAGAAGCAGCTGAAAGAAGAGGAAAGCATTCTGTTGAGCGTTGCAGAGAAAACTGCCCTCATGGGTGTCGCTGAGTTGGCCAAGGGAGTTCAGTATGTTGACCCCATCAAGACGTCGTAAGTACTAATGTTACAGCAGCACTCCATTCATCAGCGCATGATCTGCAACAATATGTAGATATCATCCGATGTATACTAGTCTAAAAAGGTTTATGAATGTACATTATCTATCCATGTGCTAATTGCGATATCCATGTGTGTTTAACTTTGCACAGTATTTGCCCAAACAGCATCTACATTCATCTGTAGGTGCCATAATAAAATGACACCCTATTTGAATTCTACAGTGCATATTAATTACTTATCTGTAAACATCAGAAGACATTTCTTTTCAAAATGATACATCATTTGTGGGGGGTTTGAAATGAATGGTATTTACTGTTTACTCTTGTATCTCTGGTACCCCATGTAATCTTGGTTGCCTACTAAGAAATATTACATAAATGCTTGTAGGTGGCGACCACCGCGCTATATCCTGGAGATGCCAGAGTGGAAGCAAGAACGAGTGCGTAAGAAGTACTTCATAATCACAGAGGGCGAAAACGCACCACCACCTATCAAGACATTCCGGGTCAGTGTTTGCACTTAGCATGATGTTCTGATGTAAAAGCGTCATTGGGTGCTCTTTATAGAGTCACAGGTCACCCCATGTGTTATGTGTTCATCACATTTGTTTGTTTTTCTCTCCAGGAGATGAAGTTTCCTAAGCCAATATTAAATGCACTGAAAAAGAAAGGAATCCTCCATCCAACACCAATTCAGATGCAAGGAATGCCCGCTGTGTAAGCACTAAATCATTAAAATATGAACATGATTCATTTAAAAAAGTTAATATATAATAATTGAAATCTAAACTTTGATTGAACAGTGAGGCATTTTGATGACTGTCTACCATGCATATATTGATGTTCTGTCTGATGGTTGCTACCATTTAGATTTAACCTATAAGTATGAACTATTATTCATATTTTTCCCTAAGCAATCCCAATCATAGCTTTCCCAATCAGCTTGTTGGTGGTAGTGGGTAGGGTGGTGCTTGTGGTGGTGGCGATTGTGGTGCTTGTGGTGGTGGTGAATCTGGTGATCGGGGTGATCGTGGTACTTGTGGTGGGGGTTATTGTTGTGCTTGTGGTGGTGGTGCTTGTCGTGGTGGTGATTGTCGTGCTTGAGGTGGTGGTGATTGTCATGCTTGTGGTGATGGTGATCGTGGTGCTTGTGATGATGGTGATTGTGGTGCTTGTGATGGTGGTGATGGTGGTGCTTGTGATGGTGGTGATGGTGGTGCTGATGTGGTGGGGGAAGTGAAACTATTTGTAACGTTTCATTCTGTCTTCTCTCAAGCAACAAGATATAGTGCAACAAAAAGCAGTGTTGCAACAAGAATTCCATACAACTAGCTAGTTGCTAACACAACCAGTACTGCAGCACCAGTGAATGGTTCCGTTCTTGATGCTATTTCAGTTTGTCTGGGCGTGACATGATTGGCATAGCATTCACAGGATCAGGGAAGACGCTAGTCTTTACGCTGCCCATCCTCATGTTTTCTCTGGAGCAGGAGACGCGATTGCCATTCTTCAGTAACGAGGGTCCATACGGTCTCATCGTCTGTCCGTCGGTGGGTTGTGCTGCAACCTATAAAGATATTCGGCTACGAAATAGACATTTTTGTTTACCTTTATATCTACCCTATGCATCACTTCTACTACCTTTACTTACTGTTTTACTATTTCTAAAGAAATTATGCTATGAAAAAGTCATTTCTCCATACCGTTCTAACCATCCATCCAGCAAATCAGTCTTTACTTACTGTTCTACCACTTCTAAAGAAATTTCACCCAAAACCTATGTTTGTCATACTTTTGTTGTCTTGACGTTGACTTCTCTTCTTGCCTTTTTGATTCTGATGTCAATCTTGTCTGTCTCTGCTACCATATTCTCTATCTTACATATCTTCATCCTCCATAATGGCCTCATTTCCTCCTTTTTCATAGAAGATCAAATCAGCAGTTTGTTATGAAAGCAAGAGGAATTTATGTCACAATATAATCATATATTATAGATACTGAACGACCATATCTTGGATGGTTCTAACATAATGACTATTGATTGATATATTTCAGAGAGAGTTAGCTAAGCAAACAGCTGAGAGTCTCGTGCAACTTAGTCAAGTTCTTGAAGAGGCAGGCATGCCACAGCTCAGAACAGCCTTGTGTATAGGTGGCACTGCTGTCAAAGACCAGATGGAAATAATAAAACGGTTGGTATCCCTAAAGCTGTACCCAGTAACTGCTTTTTTGGCAATAAATTTGACCTCCTTTGCTATTATTATTAATGTTTTCATCACTTTCTGAGATGGTACTCAATTGTTGTCTTTAGTGATAGGGATATAAAAAAAATTACATGGATGTTAAAAACTGGTAGTAACCAACCTCAGTGTCAGAAAAGAGGTCGGCTTGGTGTAATATTGTTTGACTAACTAGTAAATAAGACCACAATTCCCTAGTTTAGTTAGTTGACAGATTGTGACCAGGTCCTAAAATGCACAGGTACATATCATGGCCTTCACGGGTGTTTTAGGGGCGTTCATATTGTTGTGGCAACACCTGGGAGACTCATGGACATGTTAGCAAAGAAGATGTTGAACTTGGACATCTGTCGCTATCTGTGCTTAGATGAGGCTGACAGGATGATAGACATGGGCTTTGAGGAAGACGTTAGAACGATATTCTCTTACTTCAAGGTATTATCATCATAATTGTGTATCCAGTGCAGCTCTAGAAAATACTCAAATCTATCTTCACTGAAATTCCACAAGCCCAGTTGAACATCACACTGGAATGCCTACACAATTATAATCTGCTTGGGAACATAATTTACTGTAACATAAGCAATAAAAGGCAATAAATTATTATTAATAATTATCATTACCCGTCCGTGACAGCTCTCTCTCTCTCTCTCTCTCTTTTGCGTAGGGCCAGCGTCAGACGCTACTCTTCTCTGCAACCATGCCGAAGAAGATCCAGAACTTTGCGAAGAGCGCTCTCGTGAAGCCGGTTACTGTGAACGTGGGCCGCGCTGGCGCCGCCAACCTCGACGTCATTCAGGAGGTGGAGTACGTGAAGCAGGAGGCGCGCATCATCTACCTGCTCGAGTGTCTGCAGAAGACAGCGCCGCCTGTAAGTATAGTAACGAACGAAGGAAAAACAGCGACGCAGTCGGCGACTCGTGGTGACAGTAAGCACGTGGGATGTCGAGTTGACTGTGTGCATGAGCATTGTTGGAATTTTGACGCGGAATAAAATCTGGGGTGAGGTACTGTTATTTATCTGGCTTGTAACTTCAGTGCTTAGATATGACACAGGTGAATCTGGTGCATTGGCCCCATATATAACATAGATATACACTCAGTGGGTGAAGTGAGGGGGCTGTTAAGTGTGGACCCCCCTTGCTAAGATAAGCTGTTAGCTACAGAAGTCCATTTTTCTGAGTCAGGTTGCATACCGTTTCAGTAGCCACTTTTTTTCACAAGCATGACGTTTTCAGTGTTGGGAAAAATGAAATCTTATAATAATTAGTAGGCAATAAAACATAGCCTCTATGAACATGCTTTACAGTTGTAAAATGTGGTGTCTTATAGTGGGGAATGGCCAGAAATACATAACCAGTTTGAACATGCTTTTCTTTACAATTGTCCAAGATGAAATAGTGGTTAGTAGCCAGTAACATATAGCTACTTCTAAAAATTGCAGGTACTGATTTTTGCCGAGAAGAAACAGGATGTAGATGCGATCCATGAATACCTGCTGTTGAAGGGTGTCGAAGCTGTGGCCATCCATGGAGGGAAAGGTAGCATGTCTGCTTCTACTGTTTGTGTGAGAGAGAGAGAGAGAGCTCTGCTGCAAGACACTGGTATACATACAGTCAGAAGCTATCATCTACTAATAGTGGTTATATGATTCGTTGAAATTATGTACCCTCTTTCATTGCACACCATAGATCAGGAAGAACGAAGCACATCAGTGGAGGCCTTCCGTGCAGGCAGGAAGGACGTGCTTGTAGCAACTGACATTGCTTCAAAGGGGTTGGACTTCCCTGATATAAAACATGTCATCAATTTTGACATGCCAGAAGACATTGAAAACTACGGTAAGTGTCAAAACGCCACTAAAAGACGCACATGCAGCATAAATTTTGTATTTGTGAATATATTGTATATTGTGATTAAAGATATGAAAACATATCGATACCCAATGATAGTGATCAGTAATGGGTATTGACATGCATACCGATGTCATTCATTTTTAGCTTGCCTTGATATCGTCAAGATGAGCTATTGCCGTGGGGCGTTGTCCGTCGTACGTCCGTCCGTCAACATTTGGCTACGGTCAACGATAACTTGAGAACCGTTTGACCGACATGTTTTATATTGCATACAGTTGTTACTCCTATGGGAGAGATTTGAACGTCCTATTTTGGAGAATGCCAGTCGACCTACTTTCGAGCCACGCCCACTTTTTGACAGAAATGAAAATGGCCATCTAGATTCATTCGATTTGTTAAATTTACCTACCTACCTACCTAATCATACGGTACCTACGTGTAATATGGTGTTTTACATTTTTCGTTACAGTAATTTGACTGGAATATTTTATTGCTTTTATTTGCGCGATGATTGAAAACCAAAATGGCGATCATTTAGGCGTAACGCCATCTCTCGCCCAGATTTCAGACTTTCAGATCTGAAACATTTATTTTCGCATCCAAACTAACCCTGAAACAAAACATAATACATATAATAAGGACATTTGATCACATTTCGGTTCATCATAAATGAAACACTTACCAAATTTTAAATATCATCTCCCTCTTCTATCACACCCAAGGTGAGCTATAGTGTCACTGACACTTTCATTCTAACTACCTAACACCCTTGATGTTGCTGCAGTGCATCGGATAGGCCGTACTGGTCGCAGCGGTAAAACCGGCATTGCTACCACCTTCATCAACAAGTCGTGTGAGGAGTCCGTACTGCTGGACCTCAAACACCTGCTCATAGAGGCAAAGCAAAAGGTGGCACCCTTCCTGGCCGCACTCTTCTCCGAGAATGAGCAGTATCTCAGCATTGGAGGTAGGTGGCAGCTCGACCACGAGCACACATGGCAGCATTATTTCCATGTATATGTGGCAGTGCCCTCTATAAGCATACACATGTGGCAGCACTCTCTATAGACATGTAGTGGCAGCACCCTCTAAACGTGCGGTGGCAGCACCTCTCAACCTTCACGTGGCAGCATCCTTTACAAACATGTAGGAAGGGCTGGTAGGTCGGGCAGTGCCATCAGGTGCTGGTAGGTGAAATGTGGTTGTTGCGCGTGATGTTGCCCCCCCCCCTTTCCCAGTATAGAAATCAAGCTATGGTGACAAGGGAAGCTGATTTTTTTGCTGATGCATGGGCTGTTGCGCTTGCAGGTGAGCAGGGCTGTTCTTACTGTGGCGGTCTGGGTCACAGAATCAACATCTGCCCGAAGCTGGAGGCGATGCAGACAAAGCAGGCGAGCAACATTGGCAGGAAGGACTACCTGGCACAGGGAGCTGCAGATTGGTAGGCGTGTCTGCTCTAGAGGTGAGCCGTCACGACCTTCATGTCTAACCATTTGCGTTCCTGACGCATCCTTACTAAAATTACTACTCTCTCTCTCTCTCTCTTTCTCTCTCTCTCTCTCTACCTCTCACTCTCTCCTCTCTCCTCTCTCTGCTCTCTCTCTCTCTCGTCTCCATCTCCTCTCCTCTCATCTCGCTCGTCCGTCTGCGCTCTGTCCGCGTCATCTTCTCCTTCTCTCTCTGCTCCTCCTCTCCTCTCTCTGCCTCTCTCTTCTTCTCATCAG